ATCCTGCAGAATAACGTGCTTTAGAGAAGACATTGTAACCTCAAAGGCATTGTAGGGCTGCATAGATCAGGAAATGTGTAATCTTATAGTCTGATTTTTTTTCTCCTTCCACTCGAGCTCAGATGATAATCCTGCATTCCAGTTACTGTTCACATCGCTTTACTTCTCCTGATTCTGCTGGGAAAAGATGAGAGTTAGTCATCAGAAAAAAGCAAATGAAACCAGGCACAAGCCTATATCCAAAAAATGAGTTTTAAAAGGTCAGCTGGCACTAAAGAAGCCCTGAAAATACATCGTGTGTTTATATAGTTTACGATACAGATGGAGTAGCTCACATATCCAACAGCAGAGTCACAGCACAGTGTGGCAATAGAGGTCTTGGCAATGTGGCGCTAAAGAGGCCATGCACCTTGCACTACCTCTACTGACTCAGGTTACCATCTGCTCCTGCTTTTGCATATTGATGTAGCCTTTCTCCTTTTTAGTATTTCGTTGTCCTAACGTACTACAACACTGCCTTTCACTGTTTACTCAAAGCCGAAAGAGCAGTTAACTCGGCACATCCACGAGCGGACAAAGGTTAAGGGAATAAAGACAAAAAAAGTATCGATTTAACCACATAAACGATTTATCTTAATAATAAATAAACGCGTTAACGTGAAGAGTGAGACCGCACATGCGCCGAAAGAGGGAAAAAATTAACAAGCCTGGTTTACTTTCATCCTCCGGTGCCTCGCGACCACTCGGACCAACAGCTCGCGGTGAAGGCTGACCGAGGGGAGTCCTGCTGGATGTCTGGATACACGGCCGAATATTAAGTTATTACTTATTTGTTCCTCCAGAGTGGAGCTCCTACTGCTGGTCCGTGTAGAGAGAAGTGAAGGAAGGAGTGGAGCGTTTCATTGTTCAGAGCTGTGAAAGGTGCGACTGCTCTGCTCTCTCTCTCTCTCTCTCTCTCTCTCTCCAGCCCAGTATGTCACACACAAGTTACACGAAGCCACCCGGTCAGTGTTTGCCTCACTAGTACACCTCATGTTAAATTATTGCCACCTACCTCTGTAACATGCGCAGTTCATTCAGATGCCTCAACTTTTTGGTAAGTGTAAAGATATAGACCACAACTGTGGATGTATTATTGTGAGCAAGTATCAGAAATTAATATCATATTAATTTCCATTAGATACACTAGTTTTAGGTCTATGTATATTTAAAATAGTGTAATATTTAAAATATAATTTAGTTTGTTTTTTCTGATGCTACATTTTTTAAAACTACTGCTTTTGATAAAAACAAGTCCAGGATTTTTTTCCCCAGTCGGTGGAATAAAAATTTGTCAGCATAAAGTGCTGCTCCCAATTATGTTTATTCAGTTTAGGCTGTTAGCCTGTCACTGTCTGTGTGTCAGCATCAAATTAAGGAAAGCCTAACATTATGCAACCCACTCATTTCTTCTAGTTTCAGAAATAATCTTCAGAATTTTTTGTGTTATTACCATTATTATTTTAGTTATTAGTTAGCTTTGTATTGCACTGAAACACCATGAGAAACCAGTTATTGAAACCAGTATGAAACAGCAGTCGGTGGTGTTTATATTTAACACAGAGAAAGTAGAACAGCTGAATCACCTGTTGGTTCGATGAAGTGAACACTACAGGGCCAATCATCTGAGCTGCATTAGTTACGTTTCCGGAGGAACTCTTTAAGATTGGGTCTTGCGCGCCCCCTGGTGTAAAAGAATGGGTAGTACATGAAACCGCCACAACTTTTCTTCCTCGTGAGCTCCTGCCACTCTTCCACTGCAGCTGATTTCCTGCTGCTGATTTAACTTTCCCAATAAAATTTGGCAAACGACACTTTCATTTTAAGCCTTTTCACATTCATGTGCCATAATGATCGTACATTCAGTATTGATTAAATTTAATTTAACACTATGGTCATAATAATTTTAGTCATTGTAAGAAGTTACTCTCAATAAAATAAAAGCACGGATTATTTCTAACTCTAACTCTAGGACAACTGGATGGATCGAGTGTAATGTATCCTTTTTGAGTTGTGAATGACATAATTGTGTATGTTATTACGTTATTAGTACTGATAGATAACCGTGTTTTAACAGCACCATGGTGGTTTAGTTCAGTGGTTCTTAACCAAATGTAAATAGTTATGGCATAAGAAAGGGTGAACAAAAAGGAACAATAAGCACAAGTTTATATGATTTTTTAAAAATATATATTTGTCTTTTTTTGGTTAAATATTTTGTAATTTTACATTTTTATCCTCAAAGTTTGGAGGAGAAACATCGAATCAATGGAACTGATAACAGGTAAAAAGACACAAGAAAGTGTTTTTTTTTTTTAAATTTGGGAACAACTGCTTTAAAAGTGTACTTTACCCCATAATTACATGCCTATATCTTCTCTCATCTATAGTGCAGTTGATCCATCTAAATCAGTTTAGTCACAGTTGGGTTGTTTTAGAGAGAACAGCTGCAGAAATGTCTGAAATCTTCTGAATGTGATCTTTTAGATGGCTCTGACCTTGTGAAGCTCGCAGCCACAATGAAGAAACAAATGAGCAAGTTTCATACCAGGTTCTCAAAATATCTGCAGACCTTTTTTTTCCTTTCTTCTGTTTTAGTGAACATAAAAGCTCAATTAGGAAAAAATATTATTATTATTTTTTTTTACCATCTGTCACTCTGAATGGTTTTTCTGCTGACTGATACCAGTGTAGCTCGATAGAAAAAAAAAATAGCACAAGGTAGCATTTTTTGGAGTAGCTGGGTCGTAATTTCTGCTCCCCCACTCTTTTTATAAACGCAGTTTTTGCTGCTTTTAGCACCAAAAGTTATACGCAACAATTTTGTTGTACATGTACAATGACAATAAAGGACATTGTCGTTTGGCTTTTATAAGCTTATTTGAAAAAAAAAAAAAGTGTAAAAACAAGAAGCTGCTGAAGACGCGAGTCTTTATGAGTGAAGGAGCAGATACTTCAACACAAATGAGTCAAACTGTGAAGTTTTGTGAAATCACACAAAAATTGTATAGGTTACAAAAGAGTGCAGTACCATGTTTGTCCATTACAGTGCTGAGCAGTCAGAAGTTTGCACTGTGTTGAGACCAATATGAATATTTACACGGAAATGAATAGTTTTGATCAAGATAACAGAGGTGACGGGTAGATCCGACAGTCTGATAGTTTGTGATTTATAATGTGGGATCTTTGTCCAGCTGCACAAACATACTCCTGGCTTGTGCCCAGTTTGTAATTTTAATATATTTGAATTACTTCCCCCCGTGTCTGCTATGATACGTGTTTACAGGTGTCTTTCCGCACACTTATGCAAGTGCATTTCCTTGTAAAACGCCATTTAATGACTTGTGTTTTTCAGTGCGCCTGCTCTGAGCAAAAACCAAAAAACTTGTCATTGAACGGAATTTGCTCACAGCCGTGACAGCGGCAGTCTCCTCCCCCTGAAGAGTGGATGTGAAGACTGCGGGTCTCTCTGACATACAGGAAGAAGTTGATTAAGTGCAAAAACACAGCGCTTTTCTCAAACTCGCCTGCTTGTTTTTCCTCTTGCGCTTTCACCTTACTCGATCGACTTTCCCGAGCGGCAGATCTGGAAGAATGAAGGCGAATCTGATGGCTGATGCCAAACTGGAGGCGCTGTAACGTGTGGATTTGTTCATAAATGGAAAAGCAAGAACGAGTGTGAAACATATCTTCGGTGAAAATGCCAGAGCACAGATCCAGTTTTCTTCACATTGGAGACATTGTGTCTCTGTACGCGGAAGGCTCGGTGAATGGCTTCATCAGTACTTTGGGGTACGTTCCTCCTTTCTATCTCACTTTCTAATCGCTCAAGAGTCCATGGCTTAACCCTCCCGTATGCACGCTTAAAAACTGCTTTCACTTTACATCTGGCATGAACTTCTTCAAATGTATGTTTTATGCAAATCCAACAAGTGAAAACCTAAAGTGCGACCTGCGGTCAAGGCCCATCGGCGCGTAAACTGCTCCTTATCAGGAAATTCTTCACGTTTACGCAAATCTAACAGGAATGCAAACCAGCGTGTTGTCCAGGTACGCTTCGCGAGAGGCTGCGAGCGGATTCTTTTTACTGTGGTCACCAACATATGGTTCAGGGGCCCAGAGAGAGGCACGAGGAGGTGTCAGGGTGACCAGATTGAGGGAAGACTAGTTGTTCATTCATTTGACGTTAAGATAAGAAATGTCCAGTGACCCTGAATGCCACTCCTCCTGTTAAATAGACCACGTCTAACAAAATAAATTGACACCGAGTGAAGCTCTAGACTACCTCTTATTTGGATGATGTTCAAATATTTATAGTGTTCACTTAAATAAAGGACTAGACTCTTCCTGTTTGGGTGAAGGAATAAGTGTGCTCTATATGTTGCACATGCTTTGAAGTCATCTCTTTGCAGTCCATGTACAGATTGAAAACGAATCTGGTGGATTGCAAGATAAACATGAGAGGGTGCAAGGCGAATGTGGAGGCTAAAAAGAAGAAAAAACGTTCTAAAGTCATATTAGATATTTAAAACCTTTTCACCGATCCCCGTTTGCTCTTGTCATTTATTGTTAATTCAGTGAAATGATCTGTGGAGTTTGTGGAGGTGCTCATAGATGGTGTTTACTGTGTCATTTTAATGATATTCAGGAATATTAAAAAAACAAACAGAAATGAGGAAACCATTGGTTTTGACTCCTTCCTTTGTTGTAGCACTTGCACTCAGTAGATTACTTATCAGTTTTACTTGGTGAAAATAAAACAGCTTTTCTTTGCAAAGCAGTGCAGAAAAAGAAGAAGCTGCACACACAGTTTGTTTGGTTGTCGCCCCTCACGAGCTGAGAGCTTCAGTGCAAGGTGAAATGCCTCGGTGGTTCCGGGTTACACTCTGGCCTCTGAGCCTGCTGAACGAGTGTGGAAACACTGATTGGCCCTGAGGAATGGCTCTGCCCCACCCACGTTCTCTCCTTTCCCCCCACTCTTGTTCACTCTCCTTTGTCCTGCTTTAAGTCGTTCCTGCCAACAGGTACCTCACATCAGATGCTCAGATAATCCGTAGAGTTTTGGAGCACATAGAAGCCGAACTGTGTGTAACCCTTGAATGCAATGCTGTTTCCTAACTTATCATCTGCTGGTGTGAACTAAGCTGCGATATTTTACTTTTAAACAAAAAGCTCCCATAACTGTTAAGGCGTGTGGTAATGCAAATCGAAGCGACGGCACCCTACATGGTACACAGAGGCTGTAAATTTCAAAAAAGCAAAAGTGCACAGCAGCGATTGTTCACGCCTGCTGTTGTTGCAAAGGGAAAATAATTAAATTCTTATCAGCCTTTCAATAGCTCACGTAGTTTGACTGGTGCCCTGAGAATTTTATCAAGGACGCTGCTGTGCCAGAGCTCACTCAGGCCCAGAGAGAAGCAGCAAGTAAAGCAAAGAGCCTTCAAGATCTGAAGAGCTGCAACCCCTGTCAATGCAATTAAACCTGATCTACCCAACCGTGTCCATGTTTGTATAAAATAACATCAAATCTGTTAGTTCCACAACTGTCATTGCAAACTCTCAAAAGCTGGCTAACCTCCAAGTGACATCACTAACCTGACCTTTTAAGTCTTGCGGTTTAACTGGCAGTTTTCCCATATTTTAATGGGTCGTAACAATCAGTCCAGTTTGTTGCAACTAACAGTAGAAACTGATGCATAGATGCAACACAAAAAAACCCAAACATTTTCACATTCATACCTTTTTACCAAAAGTGAATTCACTGAAAGAGTCTGTTTAATCAGTATGTGTGTGACTCATTTAGATTACCGTGGTATCAGCAAGTTGAAACATGCATTCGTGTTGAAATTGTTCACATGCATCCACTTTTCTTGCAGATGAGTCATTGTTCTGTTGCCCTTCGCTGTTCTTTGAAACATTTAACAGCAGTTACATAGACTTGCTGCTTTGCATTACATGCTCTCTATTTCTTTATTTTGTCTGTGTTATTTTCTCAGTCGACTAAACACAGGCAATAGCTATAATTAGCTCCCCTGTGTCCAGCCTGCTAGATTTATCTTTGGTTCATGTTTAACTTGGTTACCAGTCTGATCGTTTGTGATTTATAATGTGGGATCTTTGTCCAGCTGCACAAACATACTCCTGGCTTGTGCCCAGTTTGTAATTTTAATATATTTGAATTACTTCC